AGAAATTGGAAAACTCAAAGTGCTGCATCATCTGCTCTGGGTGAGAAGAGCTCACTGAGGGCTCAGATGGTCTCCCTGGGGTTTAAACCTTCTTGCTGAAGGTTTGATTTGCTCTCGGCACAATGCTGAGGCTCTGTAAGTGGTGCTGCTCTTACACGTCCTGATCTTTCCTCTTGGCAATGGAATTGCAAGAAGGAAGGAGCAGGAATACAGCAGGTAAAGTCCAATATCTCCCTGGGACACTCCACTGCAGGACCACAGCTTGGCAAGAGCGACCATATGCCCCAGAGAGGTGAATTAAGGACAACGTTGCAGCCTGAGCTGAAATCCTTGGCTGGAGTTAAGCCCTTGATGTAATGCACTCCGTGTTTCTTTTTGTTGTAAAAGAGTTTATTTTACAGCAAAACTTGCCAGGGCTGACAAGCCAAAAAATGTCATTTTGTCTAAAAATAACGGGAATGATTTGGGTCTGAGCCCTGCTGGGTCAGGGCAAGAGCAGGGCTGGATGTGCCCCGTGGAGGGCAGGGGTTGGGCTCTGCCTGGTGCTCCGGAAAACTGAGCTCTAAACACCAGGGTCTTGGGATAATGTGAATGTCCTGCAGGCTTGGGAGAGCAAGGATGGCGTGATGGGAATCATGGAATCACAGAACCTGCCAAGGCCACCGCTAACCATGTCCCCAAGTGCCACATCTACATGGATTTAAATACCTCCATGGATGGGGAAGCCACCCCTGCCCTGGGCAGCCTATGCCAGGGATGGACAGGCCTTTCCAGGAGGAATTGTTCCCAGTATCCAACCTGAACCTCCCCTGGCACAGCTTGAGCCCATTCCCTCTCGTCCTGTCCCTTGTTCCCTGGGAGCAGAGCCTGACCCCACCTGGCTGCACCTCCTGTCATGCAGAGAGCAGAAGTTTCCCCTGAGCCTCCTTTTCTCCAGGCTGAGCCCCCACAGCTCCCTCAGCCGCTCCTACTTGCAGAGAGCAGAAGTTTCCCCTGAGCCTCCTTTTCTCCAGGCTGAGCCCCCACAGCTCCCTCAGCAGCTCCTGCTGCTCCAGCCCCTTCTCCAGCTCCCTTCCCTTCCCTGGACATGCTCCAGACCCTCAATGTCCTTCTTGTCATGAGGGGACAGGCACTGCCCTGGGTCTGTGTCCACACCAGAGCTTCTACAAGCAGGTGCCATTGGCCTCTTGCACACCTGGGCACACCTGAGCTTATGTCCAGCTGCTGTCACCAGCACCCTTGGGGTCTTTTCCAGCTTTCCAGCCACTCTGACCCAGCCGGGAGCATTCCACGGGGTTGTTGTGGCCCAAGAGCAGGACCTGCACTTGGCTGTATTGACCCTCACACCATCACCCTCAGCCCTTTGATCCAGCCTGTCCAGATCCCTCTGCGGAGTCTTCCTGCCCTCCAGCAGATCGACACTCCCACCCAATCCAGTGTCATCTCCAAACTGCCTGACGGTGCCTCAATCCCCTCATCCAGATCATCTACAAAGACATTAAACAGGACTGGGCCCAAGCCCTGGGGAACTTCTCCCGTGACCAGCCTCAGCTGGATGTAACTCCATTCCTCACCACTCCCCGATCCCAGCAATCCAGCCAGGTTTTTTAATGGAAACAAGCTAATTAGCTCAGCCAGCATGGTAGGACCAGACCCTGCCATGACCACACCAGAACCTTGCCAAGGAGGATGAATATTCCAACACAACCTTAGGGATCATGACACAAACTCAATTTCCACATTAACAGAAACCACTGAAAAAAGGATGTGAATTACTGAGGTTTGAAGCTTCTACTCTCCTAATAACGCGAACGGGTTTCCAAGAGCTTCCCAAGGCCAGTCATCACCACCTCTAGCAGACACAAACAGCCCAAGTGATTAGCAGTGACAGCATGAAAGACAGGACTGGCCACTGCCTCCTTCATCCCACCAAAACTGCTGATTTCTGAAACATATTTCCCACGTTCTGAAGGAACGGGACCCAAAACATCTGCTTACAAAACACCACCAAATCCATGGGAGAGGAACACAATTAGTCAGTTGTTTTTAAGAGAATGACAATGTTGGATAAGTCCCTCATATTACAACT